GGCTGGGCGTGAAGAGCTACTTTCGACAGACGCGAGGAAATATCTTCCCTTGTGTGAGGGGAGGTTTCTTGGCAGGGCAAACAGAGGCAACAGCGTGGCAGACTCATCCATGCCTCTGCTCAGGACAATACTAAACGCCTCTTGCAAGCGTTAAAAGCCACATCCAAATTGGGAGATAAACCTGAACTGTACACAGCAATTAGACAAAGACCTAAAGAGATATAATGAGTAATAACAATATATTCTTGATAACTTTTTTTTTTTTGACTAAATTATCAGTCAAATAATTACTGGTATGAGTTACTCAATGTGCTCTCAGAGAAGTAACTCTAGATTACAGTACTCACCTTCGAAGTACCAGAAAGCTCACTTCTACGTCAGGAAAAAATGGCTTCCCAGACGTGTCTGGGAACTGATAACGATACTGCGTTTTCTACAGGTGCACGGCAGGCACCTGCTGAAGCTACATCACCCGTGTATGACATTCACACACCAGCTCTGCCAGTGCAGAGCCATGAGGGCAACCCCAGTCCTCTGGCCTTCACCGGAGAGTTTCAAAACGTGATGTAAAGCATATCTTACCTCCCAACGAGGAAAGCACAGAGAAGTCAAGTGGTGCGTTTTGCCAAGTGAAAAGTGCCCATGCCCTTCACATGGGATGCCTGGTGTTTAATTCCCCAGAGAGGGGCTGAGGCTCACCAAGCAAAAGCACAATTTTGCATTTATCTTAGGCTGCCCTGTGGCTGCTGCCAATCCCCAAATTCTGCTCCCTCCCTGGGTCTGGCTCTTTGCCTCTGCCAACACTAACCATCACCTGGGTGCAGCAGCAGTGAGTCCAGCTGGAAACCAACCTTACAAAACAAAATGATTAGCTTCAGTTCGATCTCCAAACAAATCCGACTAAGGATGCAATTGCTAGCAGGAACACACAGCTGGAGATCAGGGCATGGATTTGTTCCCTCCTTTCAGCAGTAGCTCACTTTTCATTTTCCTTAAAAAAGCAGTGAAGCCACAGCCTCAGTATGCTGTGCTAACCACTAGGCCAGGCAGACTCTCTGGCCAATAAAAGTGGATTAACATGGATTATTGACCAGATGGGGTTAATGGTGATTATCAGATGCAGGTCTAGCCCCTTCTGGCCATTAATCCCTAGCAAACCCCTGCTCAGAGACCAGTGTTTTAACAAGGTAATGCAATAAATGTATTATTAACAAGGTAATGCAATAAATCTATTATTATGTATTTTTAAATGAATCTTTTATGAGCAACCACAGAAGCTACACTACTACACTACAAACAGATTCTATATTGTGCTTGTACTGCAGTGCATTCACCGTTTTTCCTAGGGAAAAGTGGGAAGTCTGACACCTAGGGCTGTATTTTCAAAAAGTTGCCTTAAAAAATATATCGCATTTTCCAGCTCCATTTTTCTCACTTGTTGCTGCAGTTCTAGACATGCTTCCCTGTAAACATCACTACAGTTTCAGGCACAACCATGTTTCCTTGCTTTCTGAAGTTGTGTCCGGAGTGGCTCAGTCCTTCCTACTACACAGAGGGCAAGAACATGGAAAGGTTGCCAAGTGGAAGAGCTGCAGGGGCCAGGAGGCTGTGACGAAAACTCCCAGCCCTGCAATCCCAGCAGTTCCTGCAGTAGGGCAGCCTCACAAAAATCAGTGCAGGAGCAGGGATGCTCACCTGATCCCAAGGAACATGGAACAACAGAGGTTTACCCTACAGAGGGTTGTGTTAATACCTGAAGACTGAGTTTCCCTCAAGCTTCTGCAGTGGAAGACGAAGGACGCTTGAAGGCAATCACAGCAAGCACCTCTAATAATGTTTCCCTGCATGATCCCATAGGACTGATGTGTATGGGAGAAATCAATCCAGAGAAACAGAAGTGGGATGTTTACACAGAAAGCCTTTCTGTCTCCTTTTCTGCTTACTTCTTTTGTCTTTCCCAACATAAACTCATGTTTACTTCAATAAAACTAAAATGGGAAAAAGTGTCAAGAGCAAAGATCCATCGGCTGATGCAAATACATTTATGCTCTAGAGAGAATATCAGTATTATGGCTATCCCCCTGCTCCTTTGTTCACTATCTTATCCTTAGACCATAATCTTATGTGATGCACCAAAGAGCAAACAATATGGCCAAATTCTTCAATACTGAACGTTTAATTTTAAAGAGTCATCTTTAGCAGTTATCATTGCTGAGGTACTTACTTAATAAAGGGATCTACAGTAACATTTTTTGAAGGATTTAGTGAGCTGGAAGCCTTCAGTTATCTATGGGATGGGACCTTTGCATGAACCTAGTGAGCGACAATGTCAAACCTTGCTGTGGTGTGTAGTAGCCACCACATGGAAATAAACACAATTAATGTGTTTATTACAATAGTATTATGTTGTGATGTAAGAACATTCACCAGACCCTCACAAAATAGGCAGCGAGATAGCTACTATGGCTTCAACTAAAATCCAACTCCCTGAAGAACAGATTATAACTGATAGATGTTATCTGTGTAAGCAATGTAAATCCACTAATTAATAGGGGTTGAAAGGGAGATGAACCCACACAGGGGTTAGCTTCAAAGATTTGTTTTTTAAAAAAATCCAAACCAATCTAATACCCATTCTGTCTCCTAAAATAAAGCAAGATGAGGGTTCGCTCCTCCTCTCCTCTCTCACCCCTATTTATATGTATTTGGCTTTCAGTTCTTCCTGTGCTTGCTCTGAAGAAAGCCAAGCTAACAAAGACAATGTCTGGGGGAGGGGAGGAGGAGAAACCCCCTCCGCATTTGTGTTCAGAGAATCCCCCTGGCTCGAACTGCTGCCAGAAGTGACCCTGTAATAATGCCATTCTGCGGGAGGCACATGTGGGCCCGATGAAGCCGTTAGAGCGCAAGCCGCTTGTTACCGCTGCTCAGAAACCACCTGCCAGCGGCCAGGGGCCTGCAAAGCCGCCCGCAGCCAACCTGCGCCTCGCTGCACGCGCAGACCGGAGCAGGTACCGGCACCGCTGTCACTGTCCTAGTCATTTTCTTTTTGCTTTTAGCCAGCTTGTGGGGAGAGCTCCCCCAGAAAAGCCAGTGCCCTGCTTCATACTCTGATCTCCCATTTCCTGAAGCGGTTTACCTGAAGGACCATGTCTAATTCAGTGATTATAAGGGCACTGATTTACCTTATCTGGAACTAAACTGATTATTTCTCATACTTTGTGGTATTTAATAAGAGAAAAGGAAGGAGGAGGGTGGGGGAAAAAAAGCGCTACCTGATTAGGAGTTCAAGAGCCTGTTCTAAAGGGCGATAATAAAGCTTGAAAGAATTTGTGATGAGAAAACCAAGTACCTTTTGTTGAAAACAAAGAAAAGAAGAAAAAATCTTCCAGTATCTATAGCAGAAACCTATACACCACCCTCTATCACAAACAGGCTGAAGACCAGGCTCGGGTGCTTCAGCAAGCGACCGCTGACCTCCCAGCAAGAACAAGGATACTCGCAAAACCATCTTCTAAGCAGCTCTCCTCTCCCAGACAAAGGACTTCAAAAATCAAATTAACATTATGGCCAAGTCACTCAAGCAGAGCAAACCCAAACATTACTAACACTAAACTGAAAAAACAGACAGAACTGTAAATATTTAGTACTAAGCAAAACCAGCATGTACAACTGAGTATTTGCAGTTTTTTTTCCCTAATGCCTTCTTTTTTCCCTCTCAAAGACTTCACTGTTATCCTTTACTATATCTTCTGTAGCTACTTAAGTATTTTAATTTTTTTTCTGTGTTCATAACTTCTTCAGCTTGTATAATTCTCAACAGTATAATTGAAGTGTCTCCAACAATTCAAGCATGCCTTTTATTTTGTGAGTAAAAAACCTGTGACAACTCTGCTGGGTAGCCCTCTGAAAATATGATGATAGAGAAAACTGAATCAAGTGTTTTACACAATTCATAATTAACGTAACCTGGAATTCCGCTGGAGTTAAAAAGGAATAGAAAAAGTTAAAAATCACTCTCATCAAAATAAATAGCAAGTAAATACTATTTTTTCCCCTCTACCACTTAATATCAGCATTAAAACAAGTGAAGAATTCTTTTATTGTAGCCTCAAAAAACACTTCTTTCTTTTCTGGATATTTATTCCAGCCATTAGCTGGCATGGATTTTCCTTTCAAGAGGGATTTTGCAAGTTTTTTTCTCTGGACACCACTTACAGAGGTCACGCGCATTTTACAAGATAAAGATTCAGGCAATGAGCTCTTTAATATATCAGGAGAAGCTGACAAACAGAAAACGCCCTCCCCCCGGTTCCTATGAAAGGAGAGGAAATATGTGCTCTTATTCAGAAGTTGCATCCTTTTTTTTTTTTTTAATAACTGAAATTTATGTGCATCACCAAACTTTCGGGCATTGTTCTTCCCAAACTAAACTGTTCCTTACAGCCTCATGTTTACTGAAGCCTAAAATTAGAACTGACAGCAATTCACTGCAACAAAGTGGGCTTCTTTCCCTGCCTGCCTGTTGCCCACATCCCATTCATGGCCTACAAATCCAGTCATCTCTTGACACTCATCTGCCGGGAGAGGAAAAATAGGGCAGGGCTGAGGCCTGGTCACTGCAGTGCTGAGGCCCAGAGCAACCGGCTGGCTTGTTCCCGGTGCCTCTCCTCAGGGCCTCACCTTCGCATCGCTGGAATTCCCGCTCGGCTTCCTCGCATGTGTCCGACTTGGCCAACAGGAGCGCGTCCAGGGTCCGCTTGCACTCCTGCAGCAGCGTGGCCACAGTGCTCTGATTATTCATGAAGCCTGATCCTGCTCCGCTGTGAATTGGGTGTCCCCGGGTGCACACTGATCAATTACTTAGGGGAAGACACGGATTCGAAATGAAAAGGACCTCTTCAAGGCTGGAACAAAAGAGGGGGAAAATGATTAACTAAAGTATCATCAATTATCTGAAAGGCTCAAGCAGGGAGAAACAATAGAGGAAATACATGAAAATACATGACAGCCTCAGAGGACTGTATTAGAGGAGTGTGTGAGACTGCGGGGTCTCTGTGACAAACCGTGCGAGCCGCACATCTCTGGGGTGACAGTCCGGAGAGAAAGGACTTGCTGTTCAATGGAGCTGTGAAACCACAAGCAGTGCCGTGACTAGCGGGGGTGGGCTGGAGCCCCTTCCATTTCGGAGGCTTGTGCTATCAAGTACTTCTGGCATGGGCACAGTCACAGACCTTTGTGTGCTCCACACTTGCTGAGGATGCTACACGAGCTTACTAGGCTCTGGAGGAAACAAGGGCACTGCCTCTTACCCAGGGGCACAGGAGCATGTGGCTCCCTTCTCTTACCTGAGCTCATGCTCTCCCCAGTCTTTCCAAGTAACACAAAGTACTGGCAATGTTTGTTTCCCGCAGCAAAGCACAAATAACCCTCAGTCCATGTTTCAGGAAGTCAGCTTGAAATCGGAGACTTTTTGCTGCAGATGCTGCAAGAGTAAGGAGCTGGCCTAGCACAAAGTTACAGACCCACAGGACGAACCCTGGAGTGTATTACAGCCTCACCAACTCTGTGACAGGCAGGAAGGGCCAGGGCTTTTGTCTGCCTATCAAATGCACAAGGCTCGCCTTTGACAAAGCTAGGCCTCCTCTAATGAGACTTGCTGTTGCTTCTCTCACCGTAACCTTTCCAAATCTGATCCATCTGATCTTCAACCCTGCTGTCTCCTTGCCCTTTCTGTCACACATTCTGTCTCCTCAACCCATGGCCTTAACACTTGCTCACCCCTTCTTTCCGCCACCCATACCTTTGTCCCCGACATCTCCACACCACCTCTCTAGGAAGCGGTCCCAGCACTGGCACAACGGTAAGTGCTGCTGAGCAGGTTTTGGAGCAGGGGGCAGAAACACCTTCAAGGATACGTAGATATGGGGGGAGAAAATCAGCTGGTAGTGCCCATGCACAGGGCCCAGATATGCTGCAGTTGCTGTAGGGAAGTTTGTATGTGATGTGCAGGGAACCAGCTCCAAACCCTTCCCAGATACTACAATATCTTGTGAGGGGGTGTCCCTAGAGGCAGAGATCCACCAGCATTTCCTTGGACTACCTGTAGCAGAGGGCAAGCTCCCCACACTCACACACTTTTACTAGGCTCACCATAACTTTTCCACTGTAAGACCTTCTGGTGCTTCTGACATTGCCAATGGTAGTTCAGAAAAAAAAAAAAACAACCTCCATCCCAGGTCTCTCTCTACTATTTGCTAAAACAATTCAGAAGCTTCCAAAAATGAAGTGTGGAGGAAATACTTGTTCTTTTTCTACTTTCTTCCAAAAATGAAGTGTGGAGGAAATATTTGTTCTTTTTCTATTTTTTTTTCATAGCAATACAGATTTGGTGACTTTCCCCGCAGAAAAACACTACTCCCATATTTTGAAGCAATCTTATCTACACAACTATGTCTAAAATTGGTCCGAGTATAAGCCTCTGAAAGAATGGCATGATGATACACATACAAACACTGCTTGCTTTACTGACTAGAAAACAAAACAAAACCCTCCACCAAATTCTTAGCAGCTGTATTTCTGGGCAATTTTTCTCTTTTGCTGCAGCTCTGGGATCTCTGGGTCATGGATTTGGTGGCAGATAGCCTGTTCTCAATGGCACCAAGCAAGAGCAAGCTGCCAGATTGAAAAGCAGAGGGCAAAAGAGATGCACTCATGCGAAAGGAGAGAGGAACAGAGAGCCTGCCAGGGAAGGGCAGGTGGAGCAGGGCAAAAAATGGGATTGATCCAAAAAGAGCCTGGAGGCAGGAGTCAGTCAGCAGTACTGCGTACTATAACTGCCTCAGCAGAAAGGACTACGAACCTATGCAAGGCAGAAAAAAAGTCTCCTGACTCTTCAGATGAATGTCAGAGAAAGAAGAAACAGAGGGAAGCCACAGAAGGGGGACTGAGGGAAGGGGTACAGACATGTAAGAGCAATTGGAGAGCAGACTGGACAAGCAAGAGATCAGCTAGATGCAGAGTTGTAGTAAAAACTCAGAAAATGCTAAGACTGCCAACACATTTCCTAGGCTCTGCAGCTTGGCTTTGTGATCACACAGTGTTTTGTTGGTGTCAGTTCTTGCTGTGCCACACGTACAGCTGCAGGGCTTCATTCTACGGCAGCTACACGCTGGAGCACAACACAAAAAGGTCCTGACATGCTATTCAACGAACTGTGAAAGCAGACTGTAGTCCTAATGTTTCGGAGAGTACAAAGCATCAACTACAGAGAATTCAGGAATCTCAAGGCTACAGCACCAGAGATACAGAGGAGCTCGGTTCAGTTCCTAGGTCTGCTGCTGACACGCTGGTGTTATCAAGTCACATACTCTGTGTCTCATTTCTCCCTGCCAGCATCACATAAACAAAGAGGAACAGACAGCCCACTTGAGATGAGGCCCGTTTGCTGAGTCTCTGAACAGACTGCTAGAGACCTCAGGTGCTGCAAAATCAAACTTGGTCCTGTCTGGGAGATGCCCCCCGAATGCACAGACAAGCGCGTTCTGCGACACAGCTAAGGTCCTAGCACTGCATCTGTGGCTGTGATCCAACAAACCTTGTGGTCCAAATGCTGTTAAAACAATGAACCCATCAAGAAAAACAACTGAATAAAACATATAATTCAGGTTCCTCCACAAGAAAGCAGGGGGAACAGGGAGCTGAGGGTGACCACTTGCCCAGGAGCCCCATTTCTCCTCAGCCTGCAGCCTCCAGTCCTGGCTTAAGCTACATCACAGGGCTTTCCCTGTCCTGCTGAGACCCTGTGCTCTGCATGGGGGTCAGCTCAGCTCCCTGCTCAACCCCCTCCTCATTGGAGACTATACATCACCACCAAAGATCATTTAAAAAAATAATAAAAACAAAGAGCCAAACTCACAACATTTGATCACAGCACTACGTCTTAGTCCACATCCTAGTTCACAAAGCTCCCCTCTTCCTCCACAGCTCTATGACAGCACAGACAGACATCTGAGCTTTACAACAATACCAAAAAACCCCACATCTTTGGGATTTCCTCCTGACCCTGCTAGTTCTAGGAAAGCTGATGCAGTTGCTGGTTTTTCCCAAGAAGGGCTGTCTTCTCTCCTATGATTGCAGTAACACACCTATGCTCGTTATTGCTTGCTCTGCCAACTGCACTGACATCTGCTAATTGATGTATCTGATTAAACAGCCCCGTTTGGCTTGGTGTGTGGCTTTCCCATGAGTACCTCTCAGGTTGGGATGAGATCCCTGCCATCTGGCCCTGACTCCATTCCTTCATGTAATTGATTTCTCAAAAATCTTGCTTTCCAGGAAGCCCTCTCCAGTAACAGACTTGTACATGGACGCGGATATCAGCCCCATTACGAAATGCGAGACAGAGGAGGAGGGCACTGTTACACAAGCACATAGAAGCGCGTTGAAGAAAACCCGTGTTCAGCTGTCACCCCCCCACACCTAATAGACACATGCTCCTAAACAAAATTTTCTATGAAGATGCACTAAAGGAAACAAGTGCTGGGATTCCACCCACCTTTACAAAAAATAGCACAGCATCAAGTGGGTCACAAGGGAGCTTGCAACCACGGCCCAGCTTCTGTGCATACCTGCCAGCAGAGCCCACAACTACTCTAAAACACAGCTCAGAGACAGGATGGAGGGAGGGCAGCGGGGCTGCAGCCTGGCACATCACGTTGGTCTCTGCTGGAGGAAGGGGCCTCACTGAGGCAGAGCACGAGCCTCCCAAGGATGATGGGGCTTAGCTGGGAAGCTTGACTTGGTGTAAAAGCACAGCACCCACCTTCCCAGAGTTGTAAGGATTCGGGAAACTGCCAGACTGATCATGAAGATGTATGAATTTCAACAAGCAAAAAAAATTTCTTCTATTCTTTCAAAGAGATAAAAGCAAACAGTAAGGACACTCAGAGTAATAAACAGTGATTTACAACAGCAATGACAACAAAGTAATGAAACCATATAGATTAGTGCTAGCGCTATGCTAGTACTTAGGCTAAAGATACCCTTTTGAGACGCATCACTAAGGGCAATGATTGCATCATAAAATCAATTTAAAATGCACCAAAGAGCTTTAAAATGCACCAAATCTTTTTGTTTGTTTGTTTTTTAAACAAATGCCGCTTTAACTGTGTTCTTCATAACAGCTGTAATATTGAACAGCAGCTAGGACATGAAAACAACCAAGCACACAGGCTTACAACTTGTGGCAAATGCAGTACCTAAGACTAAAGCCAAATTGCAGTACCTGCATAGGCTTCTGGAAGTATTTGGGATTCTTCCCGTGGTTATTAATTTGTTTTTTTTTTTTTTAAGTACTACTAAATCTTTATAAAAGATATTTAAAAGTGACTTGAGTTTTTAAGTAGAAAAAAAAATCTAAAAGTTTTCCAAAAATTGCATGATATGCTGCAAGACTGTATAGATAAAAATGCTAAGTACACACCAGCAAGTAATTTAACTAATAAGACTCTAACTAACAGAAACGCTTTTATATCAGATTGGGATCTAAGTACTTTCTGGGAACAAGAGAGCCCCTTCACTTCAACTGTGGGCACAGGATGTTCTTAAAACACTGACCAAAATGTTAGACACTTCCAAATAAAAATGATAGAAAAAGCTGTACCATTTGTAGTTGGGAGTTTGGATTGAAAGGTTTGGATTCCATTCTTGAAGCAAATATAATGAAAAAAAATTAACAGGCCTCAGGGGGAGGGAAAGTGTATTTCTATAGTTGCTGTCTAATCAGAGGTGAGATTGAGAACTGAGGGAGGGAGGAAAGAATTGGGTGGGCTATAGTGAGATGACCTCTTTAATAGGCCATACTGTCACATTTCAGAGCCCTTGGGCTAGGAGACCAAAAGATCTGTCAAGAGAAAGGAATTCTAAGTTACACCATAGACAGAAAGAAGCCTGGAAGTCAATCTAGCTAACTTAAGACTACAATTAGCTTTGGAAGCTTTAACAAAAATTAGATGTAATTGACACATTCAGTCTTCAAATACAGCAAGCATAATAAGCATTACTACTCAGACAACATCATTTGAGAAATTTTCCACAGTATTATGGTCCTGAAACACAAATTAGAGATTGCCAGACCTTTTCTTTCTGAAAATATATTATCCTAATTTTCATCTTTTTCAGGCTACCCTTCAATTCCAGGGAGACTAATGAAGAGGAGCAAAGACCTGATGAGTTCCATGCGGAGACTACATTTATGGATTAATCCCAACAGGGAGCAAATAAACCTTATTCCCAGAGCCCTCTGTTGGGACGCGGCACAATCAATTGAGGAATGGATAGTTATTTATGACTGAGGCTGTTTTGACTTTCAAATAAACATTTTAATTATTTTAAGTGCTACACTGGAAGCTAGAATTCAAGTCCTGTTGTAATTTTGATGCCAGCTATGCCTTGCTCTCCTCCCTCCTAACCCCAAACCACTCTGCTCATTATGATCCAGTTTAAATGATGCTGATCTTCATGCCTATCACATCTGAAAGCACTTGCCTAAGCAAAATCCACTGGACGACAATATAGGGAGAAGGAAGAGACTTGCTGCTTATCTGCAGCAAGAAGGTTTGGGTGAGAGTTTCTTTATGCTTGTGTGAAAAAGGAGTATCTTCCTTTAGGAAGAGCATCCCCAAAGGGGAACTAATCTAAATGAAAAGAGCATCCTCAAACTACACTGGGGCTATGGAAGCAGAAGTGCCCATCTCTAAAACCCCTTTGTGTTTCCTTTACACTCCCTGATCCATCCTTGCCTGATTTTTTTTTTTGCCTGCTTTTACAAGCAATTTTAATATTAAAGTACTTAATTTTTAACAGCTATTTTTCAATTTAAGGGTCTGTGCCACTTGCGCTTCCACCTTTTCATACCAGTTTATTTTAACAGTCTGGAATGATTCTTCCCTTCCCATACGCTTTAGTCATGCCAACGCAACACGGCAGTACAGCAGTTTTAATAATGAAAATATAATGCGTGTCCATGTTTGTCCATTTAAAAAAAAAAAAAACAAAAAACAAAAACCAATTTCCTTATTCCAACCAAGCAATGAACTGTTCGACAAGGAGACTGTATATAGCAGCTCCTGGTGTAATGTGGCACATCCGCACGCAGCTTGCCTGGTGTCAGTGAAGCTTCTGAGCAAGATTTCTAAAGTGGCATAGTCTCTTGATTAAATAAGAGGGACAGTGGCAAAATTTTAACAGAGAGGCAGTGCTGATCTATTTTTGCTGCAGATCTCCTAGGAACTGACTAAATTCTGGCCTCACTGTCACTCCAGAGGTGTGCATGATGATATTTTGATTCACCTTGCTCTCCGCAAGGAGACTGAAGAAAATGTAAAAGGTGGTCACTGGAAGAGCAATTGGACATTCAGGCTGAGAGTTTTCCTTCAGCAGGTACCAAGGCATACGGTCCGCTCAGTTGCTTCCCCTCTCATGGAGCATAAGCCCTTTGGAAACTTTCCCATTACCTGTGCTAAAAAAGCAACAATAACACAGGCACAACCTTGCTGGCAGATTTGTGAACCATGGCAGGGGAGGGGGGAAAAAAAAAGGGCAAAAAACATTACATAAACTAAAACGATTTAGTACCACAAGCAAGTACCACATTTCAGCTGATGAGTTAATAGCATCCCTTAAGTAAGCATCCTGAGAGTAATTTCAGTTTCCTGTCTATTTCAACACACACATGCTTGTGCTTTACTGCAGCATTTATCTTTCTTTCCAGTACACGGAGGCTTTGCCACACGAAAGAGACAAGATGGTTATGGAAAAAAAAAAATCATTTTGCTAGGGGCTTTATTTATTTATTTTACGTCTCTGGCTTAAATATTAGATGTTTTCTCTTGGTAAAGCTGGATATACCGACTGTTGGTTGTATTAAAATAAGGAAGAATCTCAATCAAAAAGCTTCTCCTAAGGCAAGCTTTCTTGTTAATATGCACCAACATGAAAGGCTTTCTTTTCATCCTATACAACTACAGTGTGTGTAAATTGCAGGGGGCTCATTGGCATAAATCTTGGCTGTGACCTCTGAGGTAAACTGGATTTACATTACTTTCTGACAAGAATTAAATGAAGGCCTTGTGGATATATGAACAGCCTTCTAGACTGCAACAGATGGGCATGAATGTGCTCCCTAGGCAAACTATCAGTGACATCTGTGTCCTCCAAATTCTGGTGGTCTCAGCCAATTAGCAGGCAAAAGGAAAAAGGGAAAAAAAAAAAAAAGGCAGCCTCTGCACAGCTACCGCAGCCAGAGCTGGGGCAGAAGTGCTTCTGTTTAGAAATGGGATCAGAAACAGCCTCCAGCAGCAAGGAGATGGTTATCTGGCTGGGTAGGCTACAGAGGTAGCATTACACAAAAAGCTCAAGTAATTAGATGGAACTGATATTAATTTTAATGCAGAACAAATTCCAACCACAGTTACGCCCATGTAAGGCGAGAGCAGTATCACTACCACGACAGACTCACACTGGGGCAATACAGAACAAAGTTTTGCCTTCTGTTAAAAAGCAGAGAAGGTCCAAAGTCAAACACGGTGCCTAACCTGGCTCCCCAAATGCTGCAGGAGCCTGGCTCTAGCTCTGTATTCAGACTAACACTGCATCCCACTTGCCTTGTGCAGGAGAAAGCTAAGTATCCAAGTGTAAATTCCAACACTACTGTTCTGCGCTTAAGAATACTCCTCCTTCTGGATGAAGTCCAGGCAAATACCATATTCAGTAGTGCCTGCCCATGCCTACCTGGTCGAAAGCTGAGACTAGTGCTTTGTGGAAGAGCATCTAGGCTGTGAGCAGAACAGAAAAAGCACTTTTATATATTTCTTTGTTAGAATGATGATTAGGATTTTTTTAGTGCAGCTCAGAAATAAAACATTCTTTAGCTTGTTTCAAAGCTAACCTTAATCAAAATATTGCTTGCATGAACTTTTGCAATGCAAGCAAGGTTTTAGGGCTGGAGGTGGGAGGTGAGGAGGGGGATCCTCCAAAGAAAATTAACAAAAACACAGGGTGACTGGCCACCTCATGGAGCTCATAAATAAAACCTTTGGGAGTCCAACTGATGACAAAACTACACAGGCTCCATCTTGCTAAATGCTCCCTGTATGAGATCCATGTTTTCGGGCCATTTGATCTTACAAACAATGACCAGACAAATATAAAAAAAAAGGCCAGACCTTGTGAAATGTATGTTACTAGATACTTCTCTGACTTTTCCAAATTCTTAACCAAACTCTACAACCAACTAAATATCTCTCTGATGATAAGAGCTGGCGGGATCTCTAGCTAAAAGCAGATCTGTGATGGAGCTGGTGCTTAGTGCTGAACAAAAGCACCTGTTGTTTTGCCCTGGTAATGACTTTTCAGAGCAGCAATTTGGGCCCTTTCTCCTCCTCACTGCTATCTCATGCACCACTAGGGGATGTAGAAAAGGAATAATTGAGGGGCAGATCAATAAATTAAAAAGTTAAAAAGACATAATGAATTTGGTACAGCACATATTTTTAGATCAAAGATGCCTTTGAAGTGACAAACCGTTAATCCATAAACTACTGAAGTACTTCCTTTCTCTCCCAAACTACTTGTTGTCAAATAAAATGGAAGTTAAGGAAATTATCTTTATCTGAAAATGGCCAAAAGAAGCCATCACCTAATGACAGCCTTGTCAAAATGACAATTGGGGAAATTGTTAGGAAGGCGAGGCCTAAGGACTGGAGGACTAAGCTTGCTGTTTGCTCTAATCTGGTCAGGCAGGCCCCACACAATTCCAGTCAGCTTGCTCTGTGAAACAGCTAAGTCTTTGTCAATGCTAATAGGGGCTGGAAAGACTTCTCTTTCATGAATATGTATCACCACTCCTCCATGTCTCCAGACAAAACCCCTTCAAAACTGCAAAATAAAAAAACAAATCAACAACAACAAAAAATCCCCAAACAACAATATCCTAAGATGCAGTGCTGTGAGGGGTGAAAAACTACTATGTAATGAAAGCTCATGCTTGGAAAATAGAACCAGAAAGATCTTCTTCCCAAAGTCTTTCTTGGAACTTTTACTTTCAAGCACACTAGGATGAGGCATTTTAAGCCTTTACTTTTAAGTATGAAAAAAACAAAATAAACCACCGGAGTGTATTATGCCCATCACTGTATTTTGCATCAGGTATTTGTATGTGCTGAACAGGCATCAAAACTTGGCCACACACTCACAGCAGAGGGCTGACAGGGCAAAGGCCCACACGAACGCCTGACTACCTGCGGAAGACGGCTCGTGACAGGCCTACATGTTTCCATGCGCAGAGGTTGCAAGTCCAGGCACCGAACTGGTTTCATATAAGGATAACGAATTTCCTGTGACGTTTACAAATAAGCAGCATCAAACATTATACCTGGAGTCATCTTTTTTAATTACATACCATCCTAATGCAATAAGAACGGGTTGCTTTACATGGCACAGCACACCCAAGGCTGTCAGAAGGGGCCGGTGATTTCCAAATCCTCTCATTAAAACAATTTTCTGAAAAGTGTTTATGACCTCCTACAAATCAGATCTTTCATAGCTTCTCCAGTCAGACAGTTTGAATCACTAATTCTCTTGAAGTTTTAGGGATAGTGTGTGTATGCATATACAGCACACACAGTTTTATGTATATATAATAAGGGTATACAAGAGTATACACACACAAAACATGAATTGTCAGGCATTGAAAAAGATTGCCATAAAACCAGAAAAGGAGAGCTAAATCAAGCCTACAGGACTGCCAACTGAGGCTGATAACAGATAGAAGATGCTTTAGAAGGATGAAATGGCTCAGAAATGCATGTCAGAAATTTTGTCTTTCTGCAGGACTGATCCTGAAGCCCAAACCTGCCCTTTAAATCAATGGAAGGACAGATAGGGAAAAAATGAAGAATTGAACCAAGCCTATGCCTGTTACAGGAGACTCAAATTAATATTTGTTACGATGTGGTGAATTTTCCCTCTGCTATAAAGCTGTGTTTGAGAAGTTATCTTCAAATGTTTGTTGCTATCTTTTTAGCTTTGCTTGTAGTACTGCCAGCTATTTCTTAACTTACTAAAGAGAAATTGTGGTGATACTCCTTTTTTTTTTCCTCCAAGTAACAAACAGAACACAAAAGTTTGACTTCCAGCAGAGATATCAAGACACAAAGCTCAATTTTGAGGGTTTGCAATATTATGCAATGTTTGCTGTAGACATTTCCATTTCATTAGCATATTCTACTTTACATGAAATCCAGCAATGAATGCTGTCCCTGATCTAAGGCTAATCCTCTTTAAAGAGCTACAGGCTATATTACATGTGGCCAGAGCCACGGTTGTGCCATGGCTGAATCACTTTGAAGCCTATTGAACAGTGTTCCCTTGTGAGACTATACACAAACCCATAAACCAATGCTCTCTGTCCTGTGAAATCCTACTGTTTTCATCACCAAGAATTTTGAGAGAACCTCCCTGCCCCCACAATAAGGGGGCTACACGAGGAGGAAGAAACATAAGGCCACCCTCAGTACCTCTCAGTGACACCTAACGAACGCACATGCACCTAATGTAGTACAAACACGTCACTGCTAAACATCACCAGAGACGAATCAGGCAGCCTTGGGGTAAAGCCCTTCCTTGAGTAGGAAGAGGTATGTCTTGCAGTCCAGCTCCTTCGAGGCCTCTGAAATACAGCATGTTACGATGCCTCAGTCTTAGAGAATGACAGACACTATACCCCTGAATGGGAAAGAAACAGACGATGCCAAAATAAAAATATTTGTTAAAAAATGGCTCCTTTTTTAAATTATTATTTTTTATTTACACCTATTCCACTTTAAAGCCCTTTTGTGGAAAGCCTGACATTTATTTCAGTTGCCTTTGGTTCAGGCCTACTTTTTTGTGATTTAGTTTTAGAACACTAGTTAGAAAGTAAGCATAGTACCATGATGATTCACCTGAAGCCTTAAATTCACCAGAATTTAAAGCACACTCCCGAGGAAAACTGACAGTACTGTATTGTGCCACTTTTAGCTCCACAACATGAGAGACATCACAGGAAAAGCTACCTGAATAGGATCATATATATCTTTACAGAACAAAAAAAGGGGGTTTTCTGTCTTCAAGGCAGAGTGCATCTCTTGCGCAGGTACCCCCTAAATATCCCTTAAAGTATGAAATTGTGGAATATACCATTTATTGTCACACAGCACAGAATGTGGAATCCTTAGCACCTTAACATCTATGCCAATGTAAAGGGGGAAAAAATAATAAAAAAAAAGAAATACTCCGTTCACTGATGTATTGTTCCTGCTACATATCAGCAAGTGTCCTTTTTTCATTTTAGGGCCTATCTTTAACTTTGGAAAACAGCTTTCTTTGTTCAATCCCTGCTTTTGAATGGAGCTATAAAGGTTGGTTTTGTTCAGTCTGCATCTTTACACTGGAAATTATTTCCATTTAAACTATGTAGAACCAGAGACAGTGAGCAGACTCTGACCCTTATGATAAAAATCTCATCCCATGTGAAGGCAATGTTTAAGTTGCTTGTTTTTAAAAAAGCACCTCATCCTAAATGTTAATATCCAAAAAAAATTTAGAACTGTCACGATATATCTGGAAGACAACATCATATTATTCCTTGGGTGGTACATGTAAAGGAGTATCTAGATGGTATTTAAGAGGCTGTTTTAAAGGCACTGAAATCATGAAGTTTTGTCTTCCAGACAAATAATTTCTGTAGATTTTAGGTCAGTTGTCACAATTTTTACACTCTGATGGGCTTACTTCAGAACAAATAAATGCAGATTTTAAATGCAGCAGATGCATTTTATGATATACTCTTACCTATTCCCAGTACAATATTTAAAATACGTGCCACTAGCCACCGTAGGCATTGTGATGCCTTTGGTATTTTTGGTGGCTGGTATCAGACCACAGTGAGAACATGAAGATTAGAGCAGCTTCCTTAGAAGAGGAAAGCGCAAAGAGCCCCAAACCAAACAAGCAAGGCTTGTCACCTGGGGAGAACCTACTTTCCTGAAGCATAATCTTAGTAGGAAACCAGCACTAGCCTTCCAGTTCCTGCAGAAAAACACTACCAGGTCTCCTAATGGTCATAGCTCATCAGTCGAATTCTAAGAGTTAAAAATCCACCAGTGGCTTGGATATAATACCCCAATTCAAGTTTTCCTCTTGTTTACACCTTCAACTTCAGATTTGATATGAAAGTAGGCACTGTATTTCCTGGCATGCAGGGTACCACAAAAAGTCAATAATGTCAATAATGTCCCATCTCATTTAGTAGGTATGCAAGAAGTTTGCAATTTATCTATAAAGGAAAAAAAAAATGCCTAAATCACATACGAACTCCCACTTCTGGAAAAAAATCCCTAAGCATCTCTAGGTAGATTTTAATTAAAAGACATGAAACATGATATGAATCTGACCTGCTGTATCTCCATTCAACTTTGTGGTCATAAAAATTACTGGTTCGTAAACAGAGAGCTAGAGGGAAGTTCTTCAATAATTTGTCTAACCAATTTACATCCTGCTTTACATGACTAGATGAACTAGAAAAAAAATAATAATTTACTAATCCATAAATGGAATGCCTCGTATTCTTAAAGCACCATTAACTTCTAAGCCACTAGAATTTATGCAGAAGGAAGGAAAAAAATAATTTGCATGGCAAATATTTTCTCTTACTAATTTGCAGGAAGTCTCACAAAATATCAAATGTTAAGTATCTGCACTTCTAGTTAGCATGTACTTCTCTAAAACTAGAGGATCAGGTCTTCCACTGGTAAATCACCTCCACATACAGCTGAAGAGAGAAGACCATCAAACAACTGAAAGCTGGGATCATGGTTACTGTATACGAAGACAACGACTAGCCCACTAGGGCTATCAATCAAATAAACCCCTGCTTCCTACCTAATTTTAATAAGCGTAGAGGGTTCTTTTTTATTCTACAGCTGTGAGGAATGAGCATAGCTACAACTAGCAACTGTGTACTGAATACTCATCTCCAGTGTGTTTCTCTTAAGTTGCATGAATGATTTCTCATTTTCAGCTCCACTGAAATTCATTAAGACACTCTTCTCTGAGGAACATGCTCTGCTCCAAAATGTAGGGACTTCACTCCTCATTCCAAATTCAAAAAAGAGACAACAGGGAGGAGCTGACAATTCTTCTTATGCATCATGGTTTAAAGATGATTCACATGTAATTATAAGCAAGTGGCATCTTGACTGAGTATACGTTCTATGGCAGTAGACCTCCCTTACTCTTCTTTTTCCTCTGGTCCCCACTGCCTGTGCAAGCATAGATACGTTCTATGGCAGTAGACCTCCCTTCTTTTTCCTCTAGTCCCCACTACCCATGCAAGCATAACTTGCCTCCCACATAGTGCTGCACTGCATGAGATTTCTTCCAAAGGCATAACCATCAGTAAGTCACAGGGAATGTCTCCCCCTCTTTCCATACTGTGCTTTTTTATTGCCCTGGCTCTTTACCAGAAATTTACAGGGAGGGCTGCCATCCCTTAAACAGAGTAAGAAAGGAGATTCACTGTTGGGTCAGTTGAAGGTTCTTGCTGTGCGATGCCAAAGGCCGAGAGAGATCAGTCTGTTGCACCTCAGAGCCTCTTGCTGGAGTTGCCCTTATCCCTGACATGCCATGACAGCATGGTTTCACTGTCCTGTAAGTCATCCAACAGACAAAACAAACACAGGGTGGAGAGACCGACCAAGGCAGGTAGGAAAAACAATCAGGAGGAGGTGAGAGGGAAGAGCACCAAACAAGAGAAGGGGCAGGAAAACATAAGGGAAATTGAGATAGTATGGAAAGACAGGGGAGAAGACAGAGGGGAAAACCAGGAAAGCCAGAGACAGACTGTGATGTGGAAAACAGTTCTCTGCACTAGTCAAGAGAGGGGGCATCATCAGGAGTTGCTTCGAGTCAGATGAGATTGGAAACAGAAGCACTCTTCTCCCTGAGTAAAGGAGAAGGACTGAAGAAGTAAATGAAACACAGAGGGAATTGCACTCGCCTTTTCCTCTGGAGTACTCCTAACTATTTCATGGTGTGGAGCTGTTTTTGGAAGAAGGTTCCAAACTTTCAGTCTCCTCCCTCTCACACTGAGATCCAGCTGACTATCATTCTATGTGGAGCATAAGTGCCCACAGTGGTGCTGTAGAGGTACACTACAGGTAGCTAAGTACCATCTTTATTTGAATAGCCAAGCATATATCTTCTCTGTTTAAGCACAGGGCCCTGTGTGGTAATGCCTAACTGCAGAACCTAGCTATAGGTTGCTCTTGCTCTTTTATGCCTTTCCCAAATTAACTCTTGGAATCTACCACTGACATTATTTCCATTTAGCTAAAATACCACCAGGAACTCTATTGCAACACCAAATGATAATTTTCACTTAAAATAATAAAATGAAATGAACAGAACAAAACGAGAATCCCCCCCGCAGGCAGGCAGATGCTCTGCTGGGAAGGCTGCAGTGCTGGTGGGCCAGGACACCGCGGGCCCAGGGCGAGCGGGCTGCAGGTTGTGCGGGAGCGCCACACAGGGCAGCGGCTCCTTGTGTCTGATCGGACATTGCCACCCAGCGGCTACGGCGCTGCCGGGTCCCTGTGCGAGGCAAGCAGGGCCTGCGGAAAGGGGGAAGCTGCGCTTATGCTCTGGGAATGGCCTGTACCCTGCTGCATTAGGCTGGCCTCAGGCGGGTCAAGAAACGGGAAGCAAGCTAGACAGAGAGGGGGCAGAAGGACACAGTTTTGGTATCTGAACCTGACACACATGCGCGTATTCACTGGTTTAATCCTTCACATTGTCTAGGCACAAGTAAACACAGCCACCGGCACTGGACCTTAGGGCTCTAACGCAGTAACCATCTCTCGATAACCACTTCGGTAGCTGCACCCACTCTGGGCGTCTGGGGACCCCCAGGCATTGTGACCATTTTGAGGCACCTCAGTGTTGCCCAAAGAGCCCATCAGGGCCACAGGACACGCCAGGGACAAGCTCAGCATGCATCCCATGTGCCCCCTGCAACACCAGCTAAAGGCAAGGCATGTAACGCTGCGAGCGCGAGGGAACAAACGGCAAGTGCATGTGGAGATGTGCCAGGGCTGTTCAAATGGGGCAGACAGGAAACGGGCTGGGGCGGTCACTCACTCACAGTCACGTCTTCGATAGACTTTCCACTAAGACCCCCTACATAAGCTGCACTTCCAATGTTTAACATGTAGGATATTCTGTTGGCACATGGACGTTTTGCTTATGTCCCCTTGTGGCGAGAGCTCAGCCTTGCAGAACAAAAGCATCTCCACATACTTGCTTTTAAAGCAACAAAAAAACACTCGGTGCTTTCAAATCTGCCAAGGGTGTTTTCTAATGCAAAGTTTGACACAGAAGGTCACACACGATGACGCTGTTAAAAAAGCCACTGCACAAGTGAGTGAGAAACCCTGTAACCAGAAAAGGATTACCAAAAAAAAAATACTGCTTTTACCTACAGCTTTTACAGGCACAGCTCCCCTTTACATCTAAAACCGCCCTGTCACATGGCTAGCAAACCTGTGGACAACATCTGTTGTTCTGAGAACCACCTATAGGAGTGTGGCCTTGGGAGCCAAGGGAAGGCCCACAGTGAGAGCTCAGCAGGACTAATATCAGGCCACACTAGCTGTTTATCTAGCAGGTCGTGGATTCTGTTGCAATACTAATTTAAATAGCGGACAAAAGGCGAAAGTGCCAGGCCAGCAATTAAATAGCCTCATACCTTCTCTCCAAACATGGGTCTGCACATGGCTTTACACAGCAAGAGAAACACAACTACAGGGTAACACATTTCCTAAAGAACTGAAAAGCATTATCTATGTATCATAGAATTCTTGACCCGCAATAAACCCTTAAATAATAAATCATTAAAAATAATAATAAAAAAAACCCACACACATTAAAAGCTTTGCCAACAGCTATATGAGCCAGAGTGTGCAGAAAACCATTATAAGGATGCTTTGTTAAAGTTTCATCCGTCTTCTTGCGGACTTCGCCAAAGTCACTGGCCACTCCTGGGAAAGCCCATTTAGCAATCCACTAACTAATCCACTAACTATTCTGAGCAAAGACAGGAAACTCGCTATACCTGCTGCTCCTCCTTCCTATATGCGAAGCCCTATCACAGAAGCAGTAGCCTGGGATGGGCAACTGTCAGCTCTGTAGCACAAGCTGCCAGTCAAGTAATTACCATCATGTAGTAAAATCAATGTCTCAATCATCACAAAATGGGCATGTTTTTTATTCAAATCAAAATGATCAAATAGCGACATTCTACTGCCTGCAAAATCAGTCACCTTTAATATTTAAAGCCTGCAGATTTTCCTGGTGCTCACTGACACAGCTTTGTCCTACAAGCATCACTGAAATCAAAATGGAACAGTTCAACTCGGTAACAAAAGAAACTCTTTAGAACGCCCATGTACCTCTGAAGCAAACCTTCTGCACAGACTCGGCAGAGTGACAGGGATGACAAACTAAATCATCAAAACGAAGCAGAAGTCACTTGAAGTTTGTATTTTTCCACAGTAGGTAAAGCCTACAGGGCACGTCAGGAGGCCAGGGGAGATTTTTTTGCTCTGCTAGCCAAAAAGAATTAGCACGGTTACAAAAAGATATGTTATATTATTTTACACATGAATATATATTATACTTGTAAATATAAATCTATATAATAGTATATAATTATTATATATACACACATACAAAAAAAAAAACGGTCCTTTTACTCACTAACCCAGAATACACTTTTAAAAATATTTCTTATTGATTTATTGTTAATACTGTGATTGCCTAAAATTAATTTTATGAAAAAAAACTGCATCTGCATTCAGTAACTCTCAGGTTTTCAAATATGATGACAACAAAGTAGTTTAAGAGCTCCCAGAATTTTCCACTTTATAGATTTATATATTTCTGACCGGAATTATCCAAAAGAGAAAAAACAACAACAAACCACAAACACCACACAGATCAAAGTTGTTAAAACAACACCACAACAAAACCATCCCCATCTCTTAGTTTACCATAACCACCCACTGCAAATATTTCATCAGCCCAAACATCTAGCATCTTTCATATCTACACAGAGAAGGCATGCTGAGCATGATAAAGCACACTGGTATCAGAGGAAATACCCACTTAAAGTAATGGGCATTGCTTTTTTGAGTACTTCCTCTTCTCTTACAAATGGCAAGGCAATGAATAGGGGTATCTTAAAAACAGAGCCGGTCAGAAGGCAGCTTCAGTGGAAAGATGGCTCTGCTCCATCTTTACCTACCCACCCAACACTCTCTTTTTAATCCAAGGGCAAGCTATGTGTCACGGCTGCACAATCCAGCTTGCACAGGTTTCTATTCCCAAAGTGTCTGCAATTTCAAATTTACCTTGATTTTACCTTGATTATCAACTTCAAAACTCCAGGGATGCTAGAGTAGAGAGAAGTGCTGGTAGGTCTCCAAGGAAGGAAGGTGCCTTTTTCTTCCCAGTAAGTCAAGGGGGCAAAACCAAACAGACTTTTTAAAAAGCACAAGGTGTCCTGCTTTTAAAAAGCACAGGGTTACAGCCTCGGCAGACATCACAAAACAGGACAGCAGCAAGAGCCGCTCCAGTAGCGACGTAAACGTTGACATCTGCCCGCCTGGCTTGAGCCCCAGTGCCCCCCATGCACAAACCACAACCCAGCCCAGCCCAGCCACAAGCTATGGGCATCCCCTTGTAGTTTCACTTTTCACCTAAAGAAATTCCCCTTCCCTCCCCCTCCAAAATTATTCTAACACAGGAATGAATGCTAGTAAACCAGATAACTATGACTGCAGGAAATACTTAAGACTACACCCCAGAAAAACTGAATGCAGAGAGCCCGAGTCATGCCTCAGATGGTGGGAAATTCAGTCATTTTCCCGAAGCTGGTGGCATTCCAAACAATGTAAAATTTACGGAAGAAAGGAGCATTAATCAAATTCCCATCATCTCCTGTATGAAGTTATGCAGAGATATATTTAATTTAAAAGCTAGCAATAAATATGTTGTTAATATGAGGTGAAATAATCCAAAAAGAAAAGGGAAAGA